TAGTTTATATTGCATAAAGTCCTGGTTTCTGAATCCTTGTATTAGTTTCAGAACTAAAAACAAGTGTGAAGGAGACAGAATGTATTGGAACTTTTTGAATATTCACTATGCTTTATATACTCTAATATAAATTACTTTCATTTCATATTCAATATTATAAGGCAGGTCTTTTATGAATACTGTTTTAAATAATTCTTGGGTGCCTGTATCCAAAAAGAAACCAGAAAAAATATCTAAACATTACTGTATGACTCTAAAAAATCAGTAATTTTATTTTGCTGATCTCAAAAGCAGTTTCCTGAGGTGGAAAACTGCTCTAAAGAGAACAAAGAAGGCTGGACATGGTGGCTCACGCCTGTAATCCCAGCAGTTTGGGAGGCTGAAGTGGGCAGATCATGAGGTCAGGAGTTTGAGACCAGACTGACCAACATGGAGAAACCCCATCTCTACTAAAAATACAAAATAGCAGTGAGGTGGCACATGCCTGTAATCCCAGCTACTTTTGAGGTTGAGGCAGGAGAATTGCTTGAACCTAGGAGCGGAGGTTGTGGTGAGCCGAGATCATGCCATTGCACTCCAGCCTGAGCAATACGAGCAAAACTGTCTCAACAAAAAATAAATAAATAATTAAATACATAAAATAAAAAATAAGTGAGCACAGAGTCAAGTATTTGTCTGATAATCATTAATCATTCCTTGGAAATGTTTTACAACTTTGTAAAATACTGAAAACACTTAAAATGCCTTTTTAATTACAATCGATTATTTGAAGGAAGTTTATAGCAAGACAGGTAGCAGATAAAAAAATATCTTGGTGGACATATGTCATTCTTGATTCCTTACACACACTTTCATTGCTTTGCAAAGATAAAATGCATATGATGATAGAGTATAAATTTCAAGAATCTAAGGGAAGCAAGGCGGCACACTTAATCTCAGGCTTGTGTAAACTGGAATTTCTGTGTTCAATTCCCAACTATCTTTCTCACTATCTTGTGTTTATCTATTTGTAGCTTATCCTCCCTAAATTTATATTTCCGATTATGCAGTGGTTTCATATATGCAATAATTTTAATCTAAATCTGCAATGTAATACTTGAAATACAATTATTATATTTTTACCTAATACCTTATTTTGAAAGATTAGCAACTAATTTGGAGAGATTTGTTTTACTTGACACCTTACAAGTGGCTTCTGTGGTACAAACTTATGTGTTATGAAGGAGTTCTTCACTATGAACTTCTTAAATTATCACCATTAATAATGATTTTGACTTAGTAGCTTTTTTGTATTTAAGTTATATATTTAGTAGTTACATGAGAACTAATATGCTTGTAGATCCATTCACATTTATTCCATGAAAAATATTGTGTTAGTCCATTTGAGTTGCTTTAAGGAATACCTGGGACTGTGTAATTGATAAAGAAAAGAAATTTCTTTGGCTCAACGTTCTACAGGCTGTATAAGACATATGGTGTCAGTATCTACTCCTGGTGAGGCCTCAGGAACCTCCCAATCATGGTGAAAGGCAAAGTGGGATCCTGTGTATCACACAGCAAGAGAGAGCAAGAGTGAGTCGTGAGGTGTCAGGCCCTTTAAAAACCAGCTCTCATATGAATGAACTCATTACTGCAGGGAAGGCAAAAAGGCACCTGAGGAGCCACCTGCCATGATCCAAACACCTCTCACCAGGACCCGCCTTCAACACTGGGGATCACAGTTCAACAGGAGATTTGGAGAGGACAAAACATCCAAACTGTATCCTATATTTAGGAAATTTTGCTTTGGATATTGCTTTCATAATAATGTCCCTTTGAAAAAACATTTTAACATGGGAAAAACATTTTAACATGGGAAACAGCTAAAAGTAATTACTATTGCCTTTGCTAATGCCAGGTTAAACAGATGACAACATTTGAAAGAAAAAATAGTTTATAATAGATAATAAGGAAATAGTGACAGTAATTAAGTATGTGTTCAGAAGTCAGGCTTTTCATTACGTCTGGATGGAAAGCAATAGCATTTGAAAATATTTTCCACTTTGCCTATATATATCTATAGGCAAAGATATATATATATATATAATATATATATATATCTTATAGTAAATCCTGCATTTCAGTATAAATCACTGCATTCCTAGAATAAGTAAATATATATCACTTTATACAAAAGACATTCTTAAAAGTCATTTACAAATCAGATTTTATCCTCTTTGAATATCAAGCCATATTTCTCATTGACTGACACTGTAATTTTAGAGATGTGTTCTCAAAGAAAAAAAAAAATTGGTTCCTGAGCCTCAAAGGTCATATCAGAATGCAGCAAACTTATTTCTAACTTAAATTTAAAAATAAATGTTTTAAAAATAAATTATTTCTATTAACACTTGAGTGAAAAACTATGCCTACAGTTATCCAATATGGTATTAGACAACTTGAAGACTAATTCTAAAATGTGAAGAAAACAGTGTTGTCTTAATATAAAATATGTATTTTTTTATAAAAATTTTCTAAGAACCTCTTAATGGTGTTTATCTTTCTATTTCTTTGTGGCTCTGTTTGTTTACCTGCCAGGTCTTTTCTAAACATGGCTATTACAGATGATAAAGCTGTCAAAAATGCAACATGAAATTCTAGCATTTTTAAGAAACAAGAGAAGCTATTTACAAATGTAATATTGGTGGAAACAATTCAACTAAGAATTTAGTATGAAAGCCCTTCCTACCATACCATGTTGGAGAAAAAAGAGGTGTATTTTGCCCCAATTTAAGACACAAATATACCTTTTGAATTTGTCTGTGTTTTCGCATTATGTAGGGAAAAACAGGACTATTCTGAAAAAGCGGCAGTGTTAAATTTTTTTCTTGATAATTATTATTGTATTGTCTGCCTCAGGAGACCAATATTTAGTTTAAAATAAATTTACCGACATTAGGGTGATGATTTATAGACATAGACAGAAATAGGACTATGTTCACAAGATTACTCTGAATGAGTTTACATTAAATATCATACTTTTTATTACAGTGTTTTTCTGAGCTTTATGTTTTCTTATTTCTGAAAATAGCTTATTTGGAGAAAACTAAGACCACTTTCAATACTGTAGAAGAACTCACTCAAATTTCCTTAGTCACAGAGTTAAATATACTGAAGATACTCTCATCATGGTGTTTCATTTGAAATGGTATTTCTGTTATTTTTTTGAGAAAATTCTTTAAGAAATCAAGGTTGATTTCTCTGAGTATTTGATACAATTTGGAATCTGTTTGCTTTGATTGTTTTTAAAATTTATTTTTTTGAGTAATTAAACTTTCTATAACTGAATACATCAACGTTTTTTTGGCCTGTGTTATCCTAGAAGTGGACAGAGTATGGATGAGCATAACACTAAATGTAGGTAACTTGTAACGGATGTTTATATATGACCTGGGAAGCTAAAGGTTTATCTTGCTGCATTTCTGTTTGCAATGAAAGATCTATCAAATCTTGTTTAATACTTTTGAAAGCACTGAAGCATCTTATTGCATAGGTAATTTTACTGTCTTCATGATCCATATACCATATACATCTTTTAAATGAATATTTATGGTAGTGATTCTTAAAGCTGCATCTGTTAGATACAGGTCATTAGTAGCTTAGGAGGGACCAAGTTAAACATATTACATGGGAGTCCAGTAGATGTGGTGATGCATAACTAGGAGAACTGTGGACAAAGTGATTTGTCACCTTATTGCCTCTTCAAAGGAGGACATGTTGTCCCAGCATTAGGGAGTGCTTTCTGTAGACATTCTTTAGCTCTCAGCAACACCACTCCCTCTGCCATTCCCTTTCTCAGACATTTCAAGTAGCATCAGACAGCTGACTTTCTCAAAGTTACCCTTCCCAGAATCCTACATGCAGTGACTGATGCATCGAGGACAAGGTTTTAAGACCTGGCTGTCTTTGCTCAATGATAATATTAGATTGTTTTATCTCCAGAGCATCCCTTGTGGACAAGGCTCTGTGCAGATGACTTAAAAACTTACATTTTTTGTTCAAACTTCTGAGTGTGGAATCTGTGAATGGCAATAGCAATAATAAGTGGCATTGAACTAACTGTATTTTATTAAATACTTGACATCCTCTTTTGGATGTCCTGATAACATTCCAATTAGCTTGTTAAAAGCCAAACTCATAATTCTGTTCTTTTAAACCAAGGTTTTTGTTTGGTTTGGTTTTATATTTATTTATTTTTATTTGTTTATATTCCTCAATTTTTTATTTTGGTAAAAATACACATAACATAGAGTTTACCATGTCAACCATATTTAAGTATGCAGTTCTTTAGCATTAATTACATTAATATTATTGTTCAGTTGTTCAATTATCATTATTGTTCATCTCCAGAACTCTTAACATCTTGAAAAACTGAAAAGTTTTCCCTCTCTTAGCTCCTGACAATTATTCCACTTTCTGTTTTGAGGATTTTCTACACTAAATACCTCTTATAAGTACATAAGAATCATACAGTATTTGGCTTTTTGTAACTGGCTTATTTTACTTGGTATAACGCCATCAAAGTTCACCCATGTTGTAGCATATATTAGAATTTCCTTCCTTCTTAAGGCTGAATAATATTCTATTGTAGGCAAAAAACACATTTTGTTTATCCATTCTACTGTTGATAGACTCTTGAATTGCTTCTAAATTTTAGCTATTATTAGTAATGCTTTTAACAACATAGGTATAAAAATACATATTAAAGAAAATGCTTTCAATTCTTTTGGATGCACACCTAGAAGTGGAATTGCAGAATCATGGTAATTTCATGTTTAATTTTTTGAGGATTTATCGTATGATTTTTCACAGCAGTTTTACCATTTTATATTTATTCCTACTAACAGTGAACAAGGGTTTTATGTTCTCTACATTCTTGCCAAATTGTTTTTTCTGATTTATTTTGATAGCTGCCATCCTAAATGGGTGTGAGATGGTATCTCATTGTAGATTTTTTTTCATGTCTGATGGGTAATGTGCTAACATTGTAACAAGGTTCCAGGGTGGCACATCTCACACCTGTGCATGAACACCCAGTCATCACACTTATAAACTACAAAATAATCTCATTGTAATTTTTATTGGCATTTTTCTAATGATTAGTGATTTGAACATATTTCCATGTACTTACTGGCCATTTTTATATCTTCTTTGGGTAAATGTCTATTAAAGTATTTTGACCATTTTTGAATCTGGTTGCTTGTTTTTTGTTATTGAGCTTTAGGAGTGCTCTGTATATTCTGAATATTAATCCTTTACTAGATATATAATTTGCAAATATCTTCTTCTATTATGTAAATTGCCTTTTATTCTAGTGATAATTTTCTTTTGATGCATGCATTTTTAAAAATCTTTTATGATTTTATGAAGCCAGTTTGCCTCTTTTTAATTTTGTTGTCTGAACATCAGGTGTCTTATTAAAAAATTATTGCCAAATCTTAAGTGTTAAAACTTTCATCTTTCGTGTAAGAGTTCATAGTTTTAGGTCTTCCGTTTAGGTCATGGATCCATTTTGACTAAAGTTTTGTATATGGTGTTAAGTAAGGTTCCAACTTTATTATTTTGCATATAGATATTTCATTTTCCCTGCAACATTTATTGAACATACCGCCCTTTCCCCACTGAATGGCCTTGACAACCTAATTGAAAATCACTTGACCATATATGTGAGGATTTACTTCTAGGCAGTCTTTCCTATTACGCTGGACATTGTTTTGATTACTGTAGATTTATAGTAATTTTGGAAACCAGGAGTCTTACAGTTCTAGCTTGTTCTTTTTCAGGACCAGTTTAGCTATTTGGAGTCCCTTGAGATTCCATATGAATTTTAGGATTAGTTTTTTGTATTTTGCTTTAAGACATCATTGGGATTTTGATAGGGGTTGCATTAAGTCTGTAGATTTGCATTGAATCTGTGGTATTGACATTATAACAATGTTAAGTTTTCCCATCATGAACATATGATGACTTTCCATTTATTTTTATATTCTTTAATTTCTTTTGGAATGTTTTGTAGCTTTTATTGGGCAGGTCTTTTAATTCCTTGGTCAAGTAAGTAAGTAGTTTATCTTTTTAATGCTATTGCAAATAAAATTATTTTATTAATTTTGTTTTTGGATTATTCTTTGTGATTGTATACACATGCCCTTAATATTTATGTGATGACTTAATTTATTGGTTCAGCTTTTTTAGTGGACTCTTTAGCATTTTTTATAAATAAGATTATATTATCAGTAAACAAAGATAACTTAACTTCTTCCTTTACAATTTTTATGGCTTTTTTTCCCCCTTGCCTGTTTTTTCTGGCCAGATCTTTCAGTACTATATTACATAGTACTAAATTCAGGCATTCTTGACTTATTGCTTATCAGAGAGGGAAAGCCCTCAATTTTTCATGATTGACTATGATGTTTTATATGGGACTTTTACATATGGTTTTTTATTAGGTTAAATTGGTTTCCTTCTATTTCTAATTTGTTGAGTGCTTTTTTTGTTTTTTAATCATGAAAGGGTGTAAAATTTTGCCAAATGCTATTTATACATCAGTTGAAATAACCATGCGATTTTTACTCTTCATTCTGTTAATGTGGTATGAACAATTTTTATATGTTGAAATAACTTTGTTTTCCGTTAGTATTAATAAATCTCTTTTGCTCATGGCCTGTAATCATTTTAATCTGCTGCTTATTAACTTGGTTTCTAATAATTTTTTGAGGATTTTTGCATCAATGTTTATAAAGGATATTGCTATGGTTTTAGAGTAATGCTGTCTTATAGAATGAGTTTTGAAAGTGTTTCCTCATGACAAAAGTTTTGAAAAAGTTTTAAAAAATTATGCTAGTTCTTTAAATGTTTTATGCAATACATTAGTGATGCCATCAGGTCCAGGGCTTTTGGTGTCAGGAGATATTTTATTACTGATTCAAGCTCCTTACTAGTTATCAGTCTATTCACATTTTTTTAGTTTATCGTAATTTAGTTTTGGTAAGTTTTGTATCTCTAGGAATTTCTTCACTTCATATGTTACCAGATTTCTTGGCATACAATTTTTCATAGTACTCTTTTACAGTTCATTTTATTTCTGTAGAATTGATAGCAAAGTCATCATTTTCATTTCTCATTTTAGCAATTTGAAGCTTCTCTATTTTTCTCTTAGTCCATCTAGCTAAAAGTTTACTAATGTTGATCTTTTCAAACAACTAGCTTTTGGTTACATTGTTTTTCTGTCATCTGTTTTGTCTATCTCTGCTCTAGTCTTTATCATTTTCTTTGTTCTGCTTGTTTTCAATTAGCTTGTTTTTCTAGTTTCTTAAGTTGTAAAGTGGTTGACTTAAGATCTTTTTTTGAACTAAAAGAAAGTATTTCTTGCTTTTTAATGTAAGCATTTATAGCTATACATTTTTCTCTTAGCACTATTATTCTATGCCTCATAAATTTTGGCATGTTATGTTTTAGTTTTCATTTATCACTAAATACTTGTATATTTCCCCTGTTATTTCTTGTTGATCTATTAGTAATTTAAAAATATTTGTTTACTTTACACAAATTTTTTAAATTTTCCGCTTTTCCTTTTGTTGCTAATTTCTAACTTAATTTTGTTGTAGTTGGAGAAGATACTTCGTATAATGTCTTTTAAATCTATTGAGATGTGATTTGTGGCCTAACATATAATCTGTGCTGGAGACTGTTCCATGTGCACTTGAGAAGAATGCATATTCTGTTGTGTGGTTGAATATTCTGTAAATATCTCTTACATTTTGTTGGTTTATTGTGTTTTTTAAGTCCTCTATTGTTATTTATTTTTTTAATTATTTTCTTTCTGATTGTTTTATTCATTATTGAGGGTAGATCTTGAAATCTCTGATTATTATTGTAGAACTATTTATTTTTCATTTAATTATATCAAATATTCCTACATGTATTCTAATGGTCTATTATTATGTGCATGTTGATATTTATTATGTCTTCTTGGAATATCAAACCTATTATTAATATATAATGTCCTCCTTTTTTTCTTATAACTTTTTAACAGTTATTTAAAGTCTATTTTGTCTGGTATTAGTGTAAACACCCCTGCAATCTTATTGTTACCATTTATACGGAGTATCTTTTTCCATCCTTTCACTTTCAACCTGTTTGTGTATTCACATATAGTGTAAGTCTCTTTTAGACAGTATATAGTTGGATCATGGCCATAAGGCATGCTGCCAGTATCAGTCTTTTGTTTGACAGGGTTTAGCCATTTAAAATTAAAGCAATTGTTGATAAGAAGATAACTGTAACTGTCATTTTGTTATTTGTTTTCTAGATGCCTTATAGCTTTTTTATCCATTTCTTCTGTCTTTTTTAGTATTGTTTATATTTTGTAGTGAAAAATTTAAATTCCTTTCACATGTTTTTATGTATATTCTATAATTATTTTCCTTGTGGTTACCATGAGTATTACAGTTAACACTCTAAAATTACAATACTCTAACTAGAATATATACCAGCTAACGTTCAATAATATACGAAACTCACTTCCTATAACATTTTATTCATATTTCTTTCAGTTATTAAAGTCACAAAATTATATCTGCATACATTGTGCATTCAAAAACATAAAGTAATAATTTTTAGTACCTTAGTGTCCTCCATTATGTAGAAAACAAAATGTAGAGATACAAACCAAAGTTATAATAATGGGAACTTTAGACTAATAATTGTTTAATGTATTAGTCTCTTAAAGTCTGTAGAAAATATAAAGTAGATTTACAAACCAGTGTTGCAATAATATTAGCTTTTATAATTGTCCATTCATTTGTCTTTACTGAGATATATAATTATTCATATAGCTTTGAGTTACTATCTAATGTCCTTTTATTCTAAGCTGCAGAATTCCCTTGAGCATTTATAGCAGTTTGGGTCTAGTGTTAATGTACTACATTAGTTTGTATATGAAAATATTTTATATATTTTCTAAGGGATAGGTTATGGAATTTACATTCAGTTGTAATTTTTAGTTTGTGAATTTTTTGTTCCTTTTTAACCTATCCCTACTGATATTTCCATTTTGTTCATCCATCATTTCCTTGACTTTCTCTATGTCTTCCTTTAGTTTTTTGCACATCATTACAGTTGTTATTTTAAAGTATTTATCTAGTAGATCTACCATCAGATCTTTCTTAGTGACTTTATTTTGCTTTATCTGTTTTCTTCAAATGAGCCATTCTTTCTTGTTCTTGTGTGTGCCTTGTGATTATTTGTTGAAAACTGGACACTTGAATTTAATTAAATGGTAAATCTTGAAATCAGATTTTCTCCTTTCCCTGGGGCTTGCTGTTTTTGTTATTATTTTATGTTGTTGCAGGCTGTCTCTGTGCTGAGGATCAGCCTGAGGTGAAACTTAATGTCTTTTATTAGTATTTTATGAACCTGTACCATTTCTTGGTGGTACACTGAAACTTTCTAATTTCCTTTATGTATGCAGTTGCTTTGGAAATATACTATTCTTCAATGTTTGATTCTCAAACGGGTAAAAGAAAAATGTAGGGGAACAAACAACCTTTCAAATCCCCTGGAAGTCACGTTAGCCAGAAAGAATGGGTTTTAGAACAGGAGATGGTGCAACAACAAAGACTACCGTCTCTTTGCCTCTACCATCATGATCAGAAGTAGCAATCAACCAGCAGAGCACAGATCCTTGATAACTGAAGGATGTGGTCCTTTTTGCTCATGGTAGTTTCTGCAAGCTGCAAGCAAGCTACAGCAGGAATATATGCACAGCTTCTTGTCTTGGGATTTGGGTTGGGGATGGATAGCTGCTGCTGATCTAACAGCTGAAATTAACCAAAATTTATTATCCGCATTTTCTCCTAGAAGTTGTAAGCTTTCATTAAATTCAGGAATTCCAAAATAGTTGTATCAGAGCAATTCTGCCAGTATAATTACTACTTAAGTGTAAAGAGATTACTAGTGCTTGCTTTTCCATCATCTTTCCAGAATTCTCAAGACCAGGCTCTTTCACCTTGTTTCCATGAATGACATTACTGTCCATCTAGATACGTAAACCAGAAATTATGTATC